AACAAACAAATAAATAATTCTTTAAAAGGGGGGGCAGCAGGTGACATGGTGGTTAAAGGTGCTGGATTCCCACATGGCTGACCACGATTCGAGTCCCAGACCTGGCGGCTTGTTTTCTCCCTTTCTCTCTCTCTCTCTCTCTCTCTCTGTCTTTCTTTCTCTCTCTCTCCCCAGTCAAATTTGAAAAAATAATAATAAATGGAAACAAACAAACAAATAAATAAATAAATCATTCTTTTTAAAAAATAGATTCAGTGTTTGGCTCATTGACTATCAATGCAGGGAAAAAAGAAATATAGATCCCAAAGTTTCAATATCCAAAGGAGTTAAGAGTTAAAGAAACATTATACAAAATGATTTGAGGTATAAGAGCCTTAATTTTTGTTCAGCATCTAAACTTGAGAGTGAGAAGACCTGGTAAAAAATTCTAAGTATAATATTATTCTAAATGGTGCATATGGCATGGCCTACCCTTCTCATTCCTCCCTTATAATAATTTCTGGGCTGGTTTTCTTGCTCCTTCTCAATAGAAAGTATCTTTTGTGTTTTAATCTTTTTTTTTTTTTAAGAGAGATTTTTGCTATAAGGCATGCGTGCTTGCTAGAGAGACAGAGAGACAAAAAGCAAGAAATCATCCCCCACCCCCCGGGGGGGGGGGGCCACCTCCAGTCTCACCTCTTGCATTCTTCTCTCAGTATCTGGGGCACTCATGCACCTATACCTGGCGTGAGTTGTATGTTACTAGGTCCAAGACTCTAACCATGGATGACTACTTGGGAATTGAGTGACGTAAGCATTATGCTATCTGCTGATCCCATGTTTTAATCTTTAAATCTTGGAATTTAATTATTTCTTTCAATAAAAGTATTATTATTATTATTTTCAAAAACTTGGATTTTAGAATTGAACATGTCGGACCAGTAGATCGTATCCCATGTGGCTGTCTGCGGTTCAAGTCCTGGACCCAATGGTTTGAAACTCATGTTGGACACATGTGTGTGCATGCATAAGATCCTGGGAGGAGAATAGAGAAGGGATTGTGGTGTGGCCATCCCCCTGGGGGGTGATTTTTTGCTTTCCCTCTCACTGTCTCTGTCTCTCTCTCAATGAACACACATGCCCTAAGGCAACAACCTCTAAAAATTAATAAATTTATAATCACATTAGAAAACATTTCTCCAGGTATATCCATCAAGTTATTTTAATACATTTCAAAGCTATTTTATTTAGATCTGTAAAAATTAATGACTTTTTTTCATAGGGTGTATGTGTGTGCACACCAGAGACAGAGAGAAGGAATGTAAAAAATAATCTCCCAAGGGGGTTAAGCCATGGTTCAATCCCTTCTCCTCCAGTCTCCTGGGATTCTGGATTTCCACACACATGCCTAGCATTATTTTTAAGCACCAGGTCTGGGACTCAAACCGTGGTTGGCCATGTGGGAGTCCAGTGCCTTAATCACTACACTGCCTGCTGGACCCACTGACATTTCTTCTTAATGAATTTTTCCCTTCTAAAACCGTGGGACAATTTCAGGTTTCATTCAGTGCTTCTGATTAGCCTGTTATCAGTATTTGTTGCACTTGCTCTTTTTGGTAGTATTCAATTTTCCAACTTCTTTTCTATTTTGATATTCTTGTTTTGTGAATGGAGTGACACTCCCCCCATTTTAGACAGGGTTTTGCTATGTCATGGTCCTCATGCATCAACTGGAACTACAGATGCATGCCACTGGGTCCACATTTTAGGATGGGCCAGGAATCAAACCTGGGCCTCCTACGCAGACTCAGCCATGGTGCATAGCAGTGTCAACCAGTACATGCTATCTTTTCTGAGACTGGAGTTACCCTTTAAACAGAATACCATGTTATATGTCAATACTAATGGACTATACTAAGTTACATAGTATAAGCCCTTGGACAACCACTAAAATCTGTATAAACAATACAAAATGGCAGACTTAAATCCTAAATTAACAAATGCAGCAAACATTAACTGGTACAAATATATCAAAAGAAATTAGCAGAGTTGATTGAAAATATGACCCAATGGAACTAGCAGATGGCATAATGGTTACATCACTGTACTTCTATGTGGTTGACTGTGGTTTGAGTCCTGGACCTGACGGCTTAAAACTCACGCCAGGCATGTGTGCGTACATGCCCAAGATCCTGAGTGGAGAATGGAGGACAAGGGATTGTGGCATGACCATCCCCAAGGGGTGATTCCTCGCTATCTGTCTCTGTCTCTCTGGCGAGCGCATGTGTCCTATAGTAAAAAATCCCTCTTCAAAAAAAAAAAAAAAAAGACGCAAGTATATGCTGTCTCTAAGAAAGTAATTTCAAGTCTGGTGATATAGATAGGTTAAAAGTAAATAAATGGAGAGACAATTCTTTTTTTAAAGTAATTATTTAATTTTATTTATTATTATTTTTTTAAATTGCTATAGGGCACATGTGCTCACCAGAGGTGGGGAAAAAGAGTGGAGAGAAGGGTTGAGAAAGCAAACTGCCAAGTCTGGGACTCGAAGGATGGCTGGCCATGTGGGAGTCCTGAACCTCAATCACCATGCTATCTGCCAGCCCTTGGAATGACATTCTTTGAAGATGGCAGAGTAGGAAACTCCAGAATCATGTCCTTCACCAAAACAATTAAGCTAACAACAACTGTCCAATCAAGTATTACACAACTCTGGAGTCTATTCAAACACTTAGTGCATACAAGGGCTTGCTTAATGAATAGAGAGGCTTATAAATTTCAGCATTTGTATGGCAGTTACCAGTCTTCAAGCACAGCCTCAAAACAGGTTGCCATTGAGATGGCAGCTTCTGATCCTGATATGGCTTGCTGGCACTGGGTAAGCAATAGGACTTTTCCTGTGACTACTGGGTTGTATTCTGATCTACCTGGCAGTTTGCCAAGGGACTGGCACAGAGTTCAGCCATCCTTTCAACCTCTGAATAGTCTTCTTGTGTAGCATCTCTCAAAATAATTTAAACAGACAGGACACTTTTTTCTCTTTCCTTATTGGATCTTGGCATTTAAGGAAATCTTTGTCAGGTCACTGACCCTAGAGATAACATTATAGAGATTTCAGTGAACATATAGAAGATACACAGTTTGGAAAAATCACTAAACTGACAACTTCATATCTCAACAAATAACAGCAATCTTTAGTGAGGGGGAGTACTAATTCCTAAACAATTACAAAACATACCCCCAAAAAGAACGAAAGCATGGTCAATTCACATTAAAAAAAAAATCAGGTTGACAGAAACCATTCCTTAAGAGCCCAGATATTGGAATAAGTAGACAAAAACTTTAACTGTCTTAAAAATGCTCAAAGAAAGGGCCAGCAGGTGGCATAGTGTCTAAGGCGCTGGACACTCCCACATGGCCAACTCCCACATGGCCAACCACAGTGCGAGTCTTGGACCTGGTAACTTGCTTTCTCACTTTCCTTCTTCTCTCTGTGTGCCTGTCTTTCTCTGGTCAAATGAAAATGACTGAATGAATAAAAAAAATTTTAAATAAATAATTCTTTTTAAAAAATGCTCAAAGAAAAACCATGACAACTAAAGGATAATGCGTAAACAAGTATAAAATATCAGGAAGTAAAAATTACCTTAAAAGAACCAAATAGAAATTCTGGAACTGAAAAATATAACTGAATTGAAAACACTAAGATTAAATAGCAGATTTGAACAGATGGTAGAATTAGCTAATTTGAAGTCAAGGCCATTGAACTTACAGATCCTCAATAACTTCCCCTAGCTTCCACACACCCAACTTAATAGGATCTTGATGGTGCACATTCAGTTCTTCCAAGGTCTGGGGCTAGGAAAGTATGCTGTATTGTTTGGAACTTTTACTCAGGGGCTCACATTCTTGTCCTCTTGATGGTGGGCAGTTTTCTTAAAGCTGGGCCCTAACTAATGTTGTAAAGTGAAAAGTGGAACTGACAGCAAGAGAAACCTGAAGAATTACTGACTGGGCCAGTAGGTGGTATAATGGTTAAGGATTCCCATTTGACTCAGACTGCTGTTCCAGTCCCAGACCTGGTGATTTGAAAATCACGTTGGCCATGTGTGGGTGTGTGCCCAAATCCCAGGAGAATAGAGAAGGGACTGCAGCATGGCATCCCCCTTGGGGGTGATTTCTCACTTTCCCACTCACTGTCTGTGTCCCTCTCCTCTACAGCGAGCACGGGCCCTATGGAAAAAAAAAAAAACTTAAAAAAAAATTAATGAGTACCGAATTGTCAAAGGCTTTGGTACAAATGAGCAACCTCATACAATGGAATCCAATTACCGTTCTGAAACCGGGTTAAGTGGAGGTAGAGACAGGAGAGTGAGGAAAACACTAACTCCTCCCCCA